GACAGTGATATTGTTAAAGATGACCTTCCATAGATGGGGTGACAGTGATTCTAGAATGAAAGAGGCAATCATTGCTGAGTGATGTTGTGGCTGCCATGATGGGAGGCTTTGATCTCCCTCCATAAAAGAACTACTTTCTCAGCTGCTGTGAGGACCATCCAAAACTGGTCCCAGCCGCTAGGACTCTGGGAGTGCCTCAGCCTAAGAAAACTGCCTGACCATTGTTTTTTTTCTCTTCCTAGGGTAGCAATGTGGCATAAAGGCCCACTCTCTCATACTCACTTGAGAAGTTCTTTGGGTCCAGTGTCCTCCAGAGTTTCCTGTGGACTTGGTGGGTGTTAGTAGTGAGTAGCTCAGCTTCTCTCTGTCCAATCATGTCTGCATGCACCAGTTGCCCCTTTGCCCTGCTACTGTTCTTGGGTGTTGCAATGGAGCTACTCAACTATTAGATCAGTGGTTTTCAACATGGAGATCTCAACGTCTTTGGTAAACCTCCAAAAATATTGACGGAGAGATTCGTAACTGTAGCAAAATTACAGTTATGAGAGAGCGATAGAAACAACATCATAGTCAGGGTCACCACAACATGAGGGACTGTATTAAAGAGTCACACCATTAGGAAGGTTGAGAACCACTGTGTAAGAGTGTTCAGAGTGAGCAGGCAAAGGTCTACCTAGTCATTCATCAGATTCCCCAAACAAATCAAGACACTGATGCCTCATTGATTGAATAAAGCTTTATTTTAATGAAAATAAAACATGAAAAATTTATGTACTCATATACAATAACATCCAAACTGTCTTCAGTGATATAAATGGGATCATATTAAAAAAAATTTTTGTATAGAATTCACTCTCCATCCCCATATGCCAAAATATGATTTCACATAATTTATCTTTAGAATGTATGAACAGACGACTTGGTAATCATAAAAGAACAGGAAAGACCAGAGAAAGTGAGGGTATAAACAACAGGTTTTGTTTTATGTTCCAGTAGTAAATAGCATTCACTGCAGATGGAACAGAACACTTTCTGAAGATCAAGAGATGGGCTCAAATCTTTGGGAATGGTTCACTTACCACTCTGAGCTTAGTAGCCAAACCTGACTTTAGAAGCCAGACTGTGGGTGATTGCATGCCAATTTAAGGAGAGGAGGGATGAAGAGTTTCACTTAGAAGCCACGGTTCCAATGTGAGAGTCCTGGCTTAGCGTTAGATCTCTAACTTTTTTGTCTTCCCTTTTAGCAGAAAGGTGACTCTGTAAGGGTGTCTTATGGAGAATTCCTTTTCCCATCTTCCTGTAGCCTCATTTCTACACAAAGTTAAAAACACTATTTTGAAATTTTTTGAATGGAACTCTGTCCTCCCTAATTGACTGAAACACGGACTTTCTTTCTGTCCACATGGACCAGGGAGTGATGAGATGTCTACCCAATTTAACACCAATTGGAACACTGCTCACAATGGATCTCAGAGTTTAATGCTGATGGGAACTTTACAGAGCCACATTCTTTATCAACCACATTTCCATTCCTTCCACAGGCCTGAAATTTAGTAACACTGTACAAACACTAAGCAGCAAGCAAACAAAGCCAAATGCTGTTGATTTTCAGTGAGGGGGAAAGTAATTACTCTTTATAGTATTGGTCCCTCTGTGGACTAGGGAACAGAGGAACCACCTTTCTGATCCTGAAGTTGCAGGAAGATCCTTCACAAGGTAGATTTAGCTAAAAAAATTTAAGGCAGTGGATCTTGTTTTAATTTTATTCTGTCAGCACCAGAAATAAGGCTCCAATAAAGCCTCCAAGGCTTTGTTTCTCTGTGATGCTATTGAATACATCAGACTTTTGCTTCATGAGGTCCTGTGGGTTCAACACAGATGTTCTGAAAAGTCTCAAAATAATGAGTTTTAGAATAATTTTTTTCTAAGCTTTGTTTGCTATGGAATCATGATTTAAGAAAATGTTATTTTGTTTGTTCACTGATTCAATTCTGGAAGGAAACAGTATTAAGCCAAGAAGGATGGTGCCTCAGCCCATGGGCGTGATGGACCAATGAGCTGTGTTCCTCTCTCTTGTGGAAGACTGAATTCTCTAGGGACTAAAGATTTTCAGTGGTCTGTTCTCTCTTATCTTTTTAGTCATAGAAGAAATGAAGGAAAGAGGAAAGGTGAAGCTAGATGGCCAAGTAGCAGGTTTATAGGTCTTGATAAACCTTTCTCTCTGTTCCCAGCTACAGAAAGATACCTGAGTGAGTTTTCTCAAGGTTGCAAATATCCCGGTAGCTATTTCCTTCTGGGTACCTGTTGGTCGTAGCCTGGACTTGCAGACAGCCCCTTGTTCTCCTAGCACTCTGGAAAACGGTCCTGGAACTGCGGAGAGGAGACAGTCGGAGGGATAGCACTCAAGCACTTATAAACCTCACTGCCCAAGCTGTTCTTAACTGTTGCTTGGCTTGATGCAGCCTCTGTCACAAATACAATGTTAGTGTTTTTTTAGGGCAGGGTCAAATGCAGCGACTGCTATACTTTTAAGCAAGAAAAGAAAGCTGTTATCATCTCCTTTTTGTTCTCTTTAATAATACCAATGAGCCTCCAAGTGTCTCTCAGGATTAGCAATTATTGGATGGACTGTGTGTACAACACAAAGCCAAGGTCTGAAACAGATTTTCTGAAGCCTGCACATAAAGGCTGTGTGTCAGCAGTCATCCTCGTGCCATTTTTCTTCAGCATGCCATTGTCACCTATCCATGGCCCACCTGTAAGTGGTCCGGCCTTCCTGCAAGGGGAAACTTCTGCCTTGGGTAGAATCGGTGCTTTACAGAAATTTGAAGAGTAATGTTTAAAAACAAAAAACAACCTACCCCCACCAAAACCCCACAGGGTTGTTATATAGTCCAGGCTGGTTTTAAACTCAGCCAGCAGTTCAGATTAGCATCCAGCTTGCAGTCTGCCGGCCTTGACTTCTTGACTGCTGGGTTTCTTGGCATTGGTACCATGCCTGACTTAAGAGTTGATCTAATGCTTCCAAAGTTGCATTTCCTTCATTGTATCATTTTCTTTCAGGGTTCCTTGGCTCAGATGAAAGGTCCTGTTCAGCATGGTGGCCAGGGACACTACAGCATAGCCACAGTGTCTTGTTGGGCAGAGCCTGAGGTCCTGCACCCCACTGGACAAATTGCATATGATGTGGAAAGGTGCTGGCTGAAGAGAGATGGCAGAGGACAAAAAGCAATGTGACAGTCAATTTTTTAGAGGGCCACAGCAATTGTGGTTTAGATAATGATCTCTCTTGACGTTGAGCAAATGACACTATTTACGTCTAAAACCAGCGGTTGCATCATTCTTGCATCTAATGCATCTTGCATAACAAATTAAAACAAAAACAAAACAACCCCCCCCCCCCAAAACAGAAGAACAAGAAATCGGGCCAGATGGCTGCTACTCTATGTATTTTAGAATAGTACAATTCAGTAAATTCTGTCGGTCAGTGATAGTCTACTCTCAGCCAAAACATGTCTATAGTGAACTAAAGACCTTTTGGGGATGGGGGTGAAGAGGGAATGTGAGTGGCTTAAAGTTCTCAGCAGTCACTGAGAAATTCACAGTGCAGGTCTAGCCATGTCTGCCATGTCTCAGTCTTTTAGGTGTGTTCCCATTTGGATCAGCTTGGACACTTGGGATGCTGTCATGTAGAAAAGCTCAAAGGAAGCAAGAGCGGCTTTCCAGCTTCGCAAGCCGGAATACTTTTTTCTTTGTCTTTTAAATCAGGTGGAGACCTCAGCTTTGCCCTGACATTTGTTAATGAGATATAGCAGATGCAGACTGATTTAATCTTAATTTCTTCTCCCTTTACTTCCTCTGATTCCTTCCTCATCAGACTTCCAGAAGGCAATTTCTCTTCTCTTCTCCATACTGGTAATCACACCCACCCACCACACACACACACACACACACACACACACACACACACACACACACACACACACCACATACACACACACACACATATATACACACACATACATACCATATACACACATACACACACAATACACCCCTCCCCCCACACACTTTCAACTACTTCTTGCTGGTGACCAGTTTCCTCACTGACCCAGGGGCAGATGGGTACTGTTTGGCACTGAGTCTGGCACTGACATCCTAGGATGTTGCTTTCTGTGTGGCCTGACCAGCAGGCTCTCTTTCCTTTACCCAACCTACTCATACATATACTTTACTCCTTGAGTGGAAATCTAAAAGTAGAGGTCTCAGTTAAACTAATTACAGGCATTTGGGGAGGACTCTCTGAAATGAGCCATCTCCAAGCAAGCATGCCAGGGCCTGGGGGAGGGAAAAGCAAGGACCATGGGACAGCTCTCCCCCTGCTCACTGGTTCTGGCTGGAATGAGTTCCTTCTGGAAGCCCTGACAGCTCTGCACCCCCCTGCCCCAGGACACTAATACTGGCCTTTCTATCAAAAGCTAGGGAATGTGAAAGTTGTGTACCAAAAAAAAAAAAAAAAAAAAAAAAAAAAAAAAATAGTACCAGGAACCCAAGGTAAGCTATAAATAAGGAAACACAGCCTTCCTTCAGGTCAAACATCTCAGAGGTCAACGGTCATGATTATTGTTATTTGGTTTTCAGTGAAGATACCGTGCTAATGAGGATGCCCATAATTGGAACATCTCTACTCTGCTACTGTGTAGGCATCACAGCTCCAAAGGTAGGGCTGAGAGTAAGTCTCTGAGTGTGTGATTAGGGCTGGTCAAGACAGCTACCTCTGCTATGTGCAGTGACGGGTGGGGGTTGTGATCAGCTGGTTTTCTAGCCTGCGTTTACTATAGTCATCTTCATCGATTCTTAATCAATTACCACTCTCCTCCAACCAACCAATTCTTCAAGCCTTTCAAGTATCAGGAAGTACGTGTTTATGACCCCACCCCCTTCTTCCTTTTGAATCCACATCTCCAAACCCCTGCCTCCCTCCACCTTTTCCTCTTCTGATCAGCATGGGACACCTTAACTTGAAGAAGGTCTTAGGGACTAGCAAGGGCAAAGGTGGTGGTGGGTGTCTTCTTTGCTTGGCAGATCTCTGTGATATTCAGCTATACGGCTGCAGTCATGGGGTTCTTCTGCCTGGGGTCCTGGTTACGATAGGGGTGCTGGTCAGGGCTGCCCCCTCGGGGACCTGCTCTGCCCATCTCCTGATAGACTGGACCTCTCTGGTGCTGAGGTGGGGAAGGTGGAACATCCTGTCTGAAGGGTCCTTTGTGCTGATGGGCTGGTGGGCGTGGGTAGTACTGTGGATATCGGAGGTCTGCCACCCTCAGATCTGGGGGGTGGGCATAGCTCCCTCTTGGGGGATGTACAGGATAAGGCCCTGGGTAGAATGGAAGCTCTCTTTCTTTGTAGCGCCCTCGGGGCACTGCTGTCAGGTAGTCCACAGGATCTGCTGAGCCTCCCCTAGGAACAAAAGCAGAGAGATGTGTCAGGAGCTGTGGAGCTGCTCTCGCATGAAGACTGTATGCTTCCGTGTTGGCTGCATTTGGCTGTGACCACACCCTAGGCCTGGGCAAGCGTCTATGAGCAGATGAGCAGATGAGATATGTACCCTTAAACACCAGGAGAGGGAATCTTCTCCTTCCCCCCTCCCCCATCTTAGACTTCAAGGTGAAAACCAGGGAAGGCAGAGCAACAAGAATACAAGAACTCAGGCCCTTGACACCACAGGCTATTAGGCCACCTAGGACAGCTTACACTCACATTGGTACATGAGAAGAGACACATGCCTGCATTGCTTATGTCCCCTTTGTATTCACTTTTATTACTAGTTTCCTCTACAAAGTGAAGGTTGGCTCTGTTAAGCCTGTGACTGTTAGAGCCCAAGTCTGTATGAGATATGGTAGAACTAATACTCTGGGTCAGAGTCCTCACAAACTGTACTCATTTCCCTCCTAGATGGCAGAGGTGCTCATTGAATGGGCTGTGTGTGGCCTTGGCTAAGTCTGGGTGGCTGCCGTCACACCCCTTTATGGATGAATTAGTGTGCCTCCCCTCTACTGTTCCCCAAAGAACTCTCAACTCGGGGCTGGGAAATTACCCACCTGGAACTGTGATAAAAGTAATTAGGTCTACCACAAAGTCAGTAGCAAAAACCAAGTTGCCCTGTATAATGGGCAGCATACAGAAGGGTCCAGGACAAGAACATACACTAATGGGAAACAAACCTGTCTGGAACTTTCTAGTGAAGACAAACATCATCTAATCTCACCATAACAATACATCTCTAGACTATGTGCAGATGATGGCATCTTGGCTAGTCTGGGGTGAGACACATGACTTCTGTTTACAGCCCTCAAAATTCCAATCAACCTCTGTGCACATATCCTCCAGTACCATTCACCACACCACCGATTCTCCAATCTTTATTCTTCTGCTCACAAGATTTTTTTTTTAAAAGGAGAAACACCAACAATAATGATGACAGAAAAGTTTGCCAGTGTCAGAGAACAGACTGCTTGGACACTGGAAAGAAATGACAGGGTCACAAGAATACTGTAGCTGTGGCTAATCAGGCGCTGTCAATGGGGGTCAAAATCACCCTGTAATCTGTGGTGTTGTATGTTAAAACAGCCCTGTTCCCCAAATCAGTGATGATTTGACAAGCTCCGAACTCAGGGAAAGCTGCCTATGAATGTAACTCTAAGGATGAATGATCTAGTCTTCCATCTACATTTATCTGTGTGGGTGTGTGTGTCCTAATTTTGCTATGTATAATAATGAATGATAGATCCACGAATTTGGTGGTAATTTCATTAGTGAGAATTTTCAGATAAAAAATTAAGTTGTTTGCGTATGAGTTATTTATAGCATCAGCTGTTATTACTCAGTTCAGGCCTCTTTGCTCTATGCTAAATTGCCCATGACAAATAGAGCAGGCCAATCATCTGTCACTATGACCCTACAAAATAAAGGACCCAGTCTCCACCATCCCTTTCCTTGACAATTTCACTTTTTATGTAGAAAATTTCCAGCACTCATTGCATCTTTTATTGGTTAAAAAATAAAAAAAAAAGAAAAGAAAAATTAAAGTCCTCTTCTTTCAACCACCGTGCTCATTTCTGTTTCCTTTGGCTCAAGCTAGAGATTGCAGAAACACTTTAAAAAAAATCCTTAACCTGTGTTTTCTTTCAAAAGCTACCCGAGGTATTTCTCTGCATGGAGTGGAACATGTGGTTTCTCTGCACTCATTTTAAGTCCTTAGGATAAATCACTGACATTTGCAACACACAAACATGATCTGCCTAAAATGAACACGCAACCAACACTCCCTCTGGACTCTCTTAGCGGGAATGTTTCCTGTTTAAAATGGAAAGAGAGGAGGGAGAAATTCCAGGCCTTTTTTTTGGGGGGGGGAGGGAGGTCCTGGTCTCTCTCTAAAGATCTCTCTCTTTTAAAACAGAACATTATAAAAGACAGAATGCCTTGGGGTGTGTTTTTTTCTTCTTTTTTTTAAGTTGTGGAGAGACAATCCAGAGCAAGTGGTGATGGGATAGAAGCCACCCTGAGCGACCCGAAACCCTGAGTAACTCCACAGTGTGCATGTGGGGCCAGAAAGGAGACTATCTCCTCTCTCACACCTCACCCTGTAACTATCCAGCACTCACTTCGAGGAGGAGGGAGGGTTCCAAGGGCAGAGAGGGCGACCCCAAGATAGCAGCACAGTCCCAGAGGGTTTCTCTGTAGGAGGATTATATGTTGGGGAGTTTGCTTACATGTGGCAGGCACCAAGTCAAATGCTGCTTTTTGTCAAGCAGAGGTAGCATGGCAAGCATCTTTTTCTGTAGAACTCATCATAACAGTTATTGTTTGTAATTTTTCAGGGAGAAGAAAAAACAATGAGTTGCTCTGAAAAAACATGGTCAAAAGTTCAAAGACCACTGGGAGCACTTTCCTCTCAGGCTGCTGTTTATGACCCGGCCCCCACTCCCAGCCTATCATTTTTTTTCTACATATTTTCACTAGAACAATTTCTAAACTATTGGGAGTATTATCACATGTGCATGCTCATAGAAACATTTAAAAGAACCATTTCTGGGGACTGCGGAGATGGCTCAGAGGTTAAGGGTGCTCTTGCAGAGGGTCATAGTTCTATTCCCAGAACCCATGGGATGGCTCACATCCTCTTGTAACTCTAGCTCCATGGATCACGTACACACATATATACTCATATACAGGCGCACACACACACACACACACACACACACACACACACACACACACAGAGAGAGAGAGAGAGAGAGAGGGAGGGAGGGAGGGAGAGAGAGAGGCACACACAGGCACAGTAGCAATTTCTAAGTAGAAAAAACCCGATTTTTAAGTAGAAAAAAAGAAAGCCCCTATATAAGTTACCCCCTACCCCAGCACACAGACAAGATGTAGGATAGAAGCCACTTAGGTGATGGGGAGGAAGTTCACTTTGTCTCACAGTTTCAAGAGGAACAGTCATCCCAATGGAGAAGGCAGGCAGAGCAGACACATGAACTGGAGGATGTGGCTAAACTCTTCACATGCGTGTGGGAATCAAAAGTGGACATCACCCACAAGGCTCACTCCAGGGTAACTCATTTCCTTTATACAGGTCACATAGACCAAAGATTCCACAACTTCCCCAGATAGTACCATCAGCTGGACACCAAATATTCTAACCCAACGATCCCATGAGGGGAACACTCTTTTAAGCTTCTGTTTTCCCAGAATGAGTAGGCTCATTTCCAGAAGCTGGAAGATTTAGGTTTTGCTTGGAAATTCATAGGGATAGTTTCAGGTATGTTCCAAATCACACTGATACATGCAACTATGAAAATGATGAATGTTAGCTCTTCTGCAGAAACATAATGAAGTCATAGGTTCAAACCATAAAACTACCTGTTTAGCCACAGAATTGAACAAGGGAGAAAGAAAGAGCTGAGATATTGTTCTCTTAATCTTTTCTTTTATAGTGTCTATGATTGTGTGAGATTTGAGTGTTGATGAGGAGAGCAGAAATTCAGTCTGTCCTGGAGAAGGCTTCCTGAGGGACTGCCTTGAGCCAATCCTGAGAAGTCCAGGCCAGCTTCCTCAGGAGACTTTGATCAAAACAAGGGCCTAAACTGCAAGTATGTCAGAGCCTCAGAACTCTGAATTCTTCATGTGACCCAAGAGTCTTACTTGTATGTATTATTAACTTCTTTAAAATAATGAGGAATCTCCCCCAATTTAAAAATCTTACACAGAAGCCATATTTACTGTAGGAAAGAGAACCATGACTGTATTTGTTTTTCTTGTAAATTTGAGTGAACTTCTTTGAAAATTCCCTCCAAATTTCTGGTTTTATTTTTCTGATTTGGCTCATTTCTGGAACACAGAGACTTATGCTTTGCTTGGAAACTCACAGGGATGGCTTCAGACATGTTTTAAATCACACAGATGCATGCAGCAGTGCAAGAAATGAATGTTAATCGTTTTTCCCCAATATGACAAAGCTACAGGTTATTTACATGCAAAGTAACAAGTAGATTGCATCCTTTCTGAGAGGACTTTGTGACATCTTACTGTATCACTAGTTTATAGTTCATGAAAGAGATCTGGAAATGAGAGCTTATGATAGCCAGCTAATCCCTGTGTACCAAGCATCATCATATACAGAAGGATGGGAGATATGCTTCTGTTTGGTTAAACAATTATGCTTAGAAAGGGGGTGATGCTATAGGAAGGACAGATCCCTATAATGCTTTCTTTTTACAAGAAGTAGGTTGCTGTTCTCAGTGGAGAAGATAAAATACAAGGGCAAGTGTCCAGTCTCCTATCTTTGTGTCATCCTTACAGAGAAAAACCCCATCCTCAGTGCTCCCTCCATGTGGAGTGAAAATTTGAAAGAAAATGGTCCCCAAAGGGAGTAGCACTATTAGGAGGTGTGGCCTTGATGGAGGAAGTGTGTCACTGTGGAGGCAGGCCTTGAGGACTCAAATATGCTCAAATCATGTCCAGTGATATAGTCTACTTCCTGCTGCCTGCAAGATGTAGGAATCTAAGCTACTTCTCCAGCACCATTTCTGCCACCATGATAATGCACTGAACCTTGGAACTGTAAGCCACACAATTAAATGTTTTACTTTATAAGAGTTGCTCTGGTCATGGTGTTTCTTCACAGCAATAAAAACCCTAACTAAGACATTCCAGTTAGTCATTCTCGCTGCATTTGTCTTTCACTTGGCCTTGTGGTATTTATCCAGTGGATGTCTAGGAAGCTGGCACTGACTCTTATGCCTCCAGCAATCTCCCTTGGATCTCAACACAGGGCTTTGTGTCTCATAGGTACTCTATAAATGTATGTGCATTTTTTTTGAGGGAAGATGCAGAAATGTACACAGTAAGCAGAGAGTGTTAGATTTGTTTAGATGAGCATTAGGGACTGGAGGAGA